ATAATAAATATGTTTGTCAAATGTGAGAGAGCTAAAATACAACACAAGTACACAACGTTTGGACATTTGCTCCTCGCGGTAGTTCGTATTAAAAATTTGGATTATGCCCCCCTCTAGAAAAAATCCTGCGGACGCCCTTGCAATAACCAATATATATATAAACAAATTCAAATAAATTTAAATTTAAATAAAAAAAATACAAAGTATCGTACAATGAACTGTATTACTCTGATTTGCACACTTACCACATACACACTGACATAGATGTATCTGGCGCACTAGAGTGTAAAGCATGATGAGGAAAGCCCATTTTCACAAGAGCTGCATCTAATCGCGTTGCAGCAGGCGGAGGATCTATATGTGCATTCAATTGCTCCTTGTAATGCTTATCATCGAGCGCAACACTGTGTTCGCCACCGGTGAGATTTGCCATTCGTTTACAGATGTATAATTCAGCGGCCAATCCTATTACGCTGCACCTAATACCGTCCAGTTTCATATTCTAAAACAAACTCGATATTGAGAAAGGTATATTCTTGCAGCAAAGAAAAATTAAAACACAAATAAAAAAAACATACTCTTATCGTCTCATTGATATCTCCTGGATCGCATGTAGTCAATGCCCCCATAATTACCAATATTTCTTTACTAGCGTGAGACGGTAATAATTTCAATAATTTTGTAGCCAATTCTAAAGAGTTTTGCAAAGAAGGTTCACCGCCTACTACAGTTTGCTGTAACGTCTGTAATTCCTATAAAATAGACGATAACATTACAATGCTAAGTATTTCATACATATAAGGATAAGCAAAAAAATAACAATGAATAATTACCTTAACGTGCTTCTTTGAGTTACCAGCCAAATCACTAACTTTCTCAGCCCTTTTATTTCTAGTTATAATTACACCTAATTGACTTATAGGATTCTGATAAAAAAATTCTTCGATAAAATCTTCTAGAAGCTAGAAGCAAATATTTAATAATTAAATAAATATATTTATATATACATAGTTGTATAAAAAATTTATATATAATATATATCGCGCATCGACAGTAGAATAAGTTAGAGATACAGCATATTCTTTCGTCGTACCTTGAGAGAACACAGAAAACGAGTTGGTTTTAAATCTTGATTCGACATTGACTCGGAAGCATCCAAGATAATATAAAGGTGCCTCATCATTCCTAACCTGGCACCTTGTTTTCTTTCCAACTGACGCTTTCTCTTGGCATTGTGAATAATGTCTGCAACGGAAGCTTCTAACAAACCATGGTCATCTTCCTTGATCGCTTCCCTATAGAACCCAAACAAGTATATAATTGTTATGGATTGATACGAGATATAAAACTTATCTAGATGAGTTAGAGTGCCATGAAATGTGTATAGATATATAACTATACATAAAAGCCATACCATGTCTTTTCGTAACCAGTTTCCCAACGGTACTCCTTTTCCTCAGACTCCTCCTCTGCCATTCTCTAGGGGTCTAAATAAAAATCCTACAAATAATAAGTAAAAGATATCATTAGAATGATGAAAAATAAAAAGTAGATAAGGGGATGTGAGCTGCTGATTTGATGTACACTGTACAATTGGTTAATAATTTACAAAAAAATACTTGATTGTTTTTATCACGCAAACTCACACAAATCCTTGAAAAGGATTTACCTATACATATTATTACAGATTTTAGGCAATAAAAAAAAATAACCCAATAATTCCGCGCTATGTTACAACAATAATTCCAGTATTGGAAATGTGATGAATAATTGATAAGTTAAAAGAAAAAAGGAGAAAAGACGAAAAAAAATAGAGGGTTAAAAGTACTAAGAACAGATCTCTCGTGTGAGAGGTTAAAACGGACCAAGATTTACAAGGATTCATGTATATATCTGCGACTGAAATACGAATGTTATGAATGGAAAGTAAACGAAACTCGAAGCGTAAAAGTGATGCATCTCAGGCACCAAATGTATATAAATTCAAATACGTGAAATATGACACTTTCGCAATAATTTGACCATAGATTTATGAATTTATTCCGACAGGCACCCACGTGCAGTTCACATACGCACGTGTATATTTACTTGTTGTTAAAAAAATTAAGTGGTTAGTCAAGATTATATTTTATTTACAAAGAATAAAAAGAATGGGTGAAATTGGAAATTAACGAGAAGCGAAATTAATCTCGTTTTACTGGTCGTCGGTCGAAATCGAAAATTTTAAAGCGAGTTCGCATAGGTTATTTGGTGAGTTACCCGCGAAAATCTATGCTCCAGAGATAGATCGAGACAGGCCGCGGCGGCGGCGGCGGCCCGGAAAAAGGATGACAAATTGACAACCAAGGTTCAGGACAGAAATCCCAGGAACGTGGGCAAATCGGAGCTCGGAGCGAGACGGAGCCGGAGCTTGGAGCATGCCGGGTAAATACATAGGTACATTCATACATACATAATGTATGATGTGTGTGTATTATATATATATATATAATATGTGTAGTAGTGGTAATACATGGTAGTATATACATATGTACATGCAAACATACGTCTGGATAGACGATCAACAAGAGGTGACAAGACGGCAAAGAGGGCAGGCGGGTAGGCCGGGCCGGGCGGCCGCGCCGCGCCGCGCCGCGCCGTCGCTACGATCCGCCATCAGCCGCCATGGCGCCACTGTCGGCCGACGCGGTCGCTCACGGTCGCTGTTTTCATTCTGTCTTGCGCGACAACGAGCAATTTTCCAGGCTGCGGAAAATCTAGCCGTTTCGCCGGTTTTACCGTACATAAGTGAGTATCGCTGATTCGCTTTTACGACCGTGATTATATTAATCGCGTTCACGCGCGGCCCGAAATTTCACGGGGTTCAGAAAGCATTCACGTAAAGACAGGAAGTAGCTCGTAGAGAGAAGTGTCGGCGACGAGAGCCATCTTTGACGAGCATCGGCTTGTACTCGTGAGAGGCAATCGAGCTTTGCATTGACGACATCACGGCGACGACGACAGCGGCCGCGACGCGACGACGACGACGACGATGACGACGGCGACGGCGGCGGCAGCGGCAACGACGGCGATGACGACGACGACGACGACGATGACGACAGTGACAAAAACGACAGTGACGGAAACGATAATTACGACGACGATGATGATGACGATAATCAATGAATCAATGTAGCCGGCAATGATATACCGGTCTCGATTAACTTACGATCGAAAGTTTTCTTGGTCATTATTTTAACGTGAGACATGAGATAAGGCTACGGCGGCGTCCCCGCATGGCGGGAACAAGTGCGCGCTAGTGTTTGCTTTCTTCGTCTCACACATTCGCCGTGCGGCTGGCCCCGTTTACAATCGCCTCGTGTCGCACGTCGTGTATCAGTCGTATGTACGCCGCCGGCACGCCGCACGACCAGTTTTGACTCTTCACCACTGCGGAAATGCATTTAATTTAAATGTTAGTAACGACAGTTACTTGAACGTAGTTGTAGCCAGCTATATATAAATTATACGCCGTGCATGGCACGATGCGCGAGTGCGCGCACGGGATTGAGATGTGATTGTGCGTGTGTCGAATCGTGTACGAATCAGCGTGGCAGGAACACGAGTGTTTTTCTTAAGAAGAAAAAGAGAGAAAAAGTACAAAAAGATACTCGTATCATTTGCGATCGCGATCGTTGGCATGCATCGTCGCGCGCGCTTCGACACTCATTCACGGACAATCTTGGAGAGGTGAATTTTAGACTTGACGATGTATTGTACTCTGTTTTCGCCATTTTTTTGCACGGTCCGCGCCAAAAAGCAGGCCTTTCCTGGTTCTAGGTTATCTCGCGTGTGAGAAAAAGTTCGTTTCCAACGTTTCCCTCTTCGCCACTCTCTTTCTCTGTCCTGCGTGAAAAGTCTATCGGCTACGCCAAGTGCAAGTTTCTCATGCATTTTTGCATACCTACTTCGTTACCGCGATTAACGATGCTGTTACTTAATCTGTTTTTAGAAAAGAAATCGCGAGATAAGAATCGTATACAGAATGGAAGGAGACGATGGCCCTTCAGCCATCAGTAGTAAACCCGCTGTTATCAAAGGTAACGGTCGCTACATCTCGATTACTTAATTTATATATATTTCTTTTTATCTCATAGCTTTGAAATCGATTCGATTTGTTTTCCATTTGTGTGATAAAAGAGCAAGATTTTTCTTCTTGTCATTTGAAGATGGCATAATGCAATAATAAATATTTTATCTTTTTTCTGTTTAAACCATCATTTTCACTTGGCTTTCAATTACTTTTCTACTTCATCACAGCGGCACAAGAAGAAATGGGACGACTAGACGTGTTGGTATGTGGACAGTGTCATTCTGTCTTTCATTTTATCGAAGAGTTTCAAGAACATCGTACAAAGGAGGGAGCTTGCTCCAAAGTGTCACATTTTCGCGAAAGCAATGATGTTTGTATCTATGCTTTGTATTCATAGATTCTCTCTATATGAGACATCTGCCACACAATTGTATATTTATGAAATTCTTTTATATGTATATATATATTTATAGAATGGACAAAAAGCACAAGTATGGGCATTTCTGTTATGGAAAGATACACAAGTTCAACACGAAGGTACAGACAAGGATACAGCTAATGCTTGGAAATTGTATCAGAAATGGTGTAAGATGGATACGCATAAAAGAGAGTCGTGGATTACTGCAGGAAAATCTATACAAACCTTTACAAAAATTAGTAACGCAAAGATGCAGGATACGCCAATACAAATTCAATCCAATACTAATGAAGGTGATTGTCTTTTAAGAAATAACAACTCTACTTGCAGAACAAAGAAAGATGCTTTTTTATATATATATATATAAATATCACATTTTTATATGAACAAAATTAAAGACATTTTACATTTGTTGTTTTGCAGGTGCCAAACCGATAATAGTTCGTAAAGTTGTCAGAAATGGACAACCGGACGAAACGGGCGAAGCTAAAAAAGATAGTGTGAAATCATTAGAGACAAAAACACAAAAGAATGAATCTATGGAAATTGAAGTGGACAAAAAAGAAAAACCAAGACTGAAACCATCGATTAAGCCCAAGGTATTACATTATTTGATGCTACTTGTTTGCACTTTTTTTTTTTTTTTAATTTCAATTTGCTTTATTTAATATTTTTGCAGAATAAGTTTGGCAAGGCAGCTACCGAAGAAGATGCAGATCTGAGTAACGAAGAATATATTGTCGAAAAAATTTTAGCTAAACGTTTTAATCCAAAAAAGAGATGCTCGGAATATTTAATCAAATGGGAAGGCTATTCACAGTGAGTATTCTTCATTGATCGCTTTTATTTTTTTTTTTTTTTCAAGAGTTGTAACAAAATATTGTTAAATATTTCAAATTCATAGTGAAAACAATACATGGGAGTCTGTAGAGGCTGTAGCAACTTGCAAAAATATGTTGGATGAATTTGAGCGGAATCTTGCTAAGCAAAAGGAATTCAAAGCAGCACAACAACAGGCTAACACAAAAGTCGTCGGACGTGCGAGTTTGCCGGCCCAAAAGTCAGTGATAAAAGCCGAAGCTAGTAAACCTGGACCAAGCACGGCGGCTCAAGCAGGGTGAGCGAATTTCTTTTTTTTTTTTATTATTATTTTTATAATGAATGCAATTATATAACGTTTTAGTTTTTTAATCACTGCAATGATACTCAATGCGATAATTGTTGCATGTACGTAGACGTCCGATGCGGTCTAGTAAATCAAAAGCGATGAATCAAGTCAAACAATGGTGTGGCTCGATGAAAGATGAGGATAACGAACGTATGTATTTATCCATATAAATAACTCGAGCACTTGCGTGCGTGTTAATTGCTATCCAACATGTTTTTAATATTATTATAAATATACTGTTTCTTAATCAATACTTATATGTGTGGGAAATTTTAGTATTAGGTAAAAGGAGAATCGATAATTCAGAGAGTGATTCGGAAGAAGGTGGAAGCAGTGCCGCAAAGAGAACAAAAGGCGCAGCGGATACGGGCAGCGACGACGAATGGACCGGGGAATCTGACGACGAAAGACTAATGGGTCGTAGCGACGTGATTCAACGTGCATTCAATCGCGCTAATGCGCAGTCCAATGGATCCAATAGAGCCTCGGTTTCGTCCACTGATCTAGCAACATCGTTAGGATTACAATCTCCAGATGGAACGAAATCTAGCCAACCGCCTGTTTTTGTGGCCAGTGCTAAGGGAGTTGTGAAAGTCGATTCCAAACAAATGCCGAATTTGGCTTCTGGTCTTTACGTTATGTCACGAAAAGACGGTATCATCAAATTGAATTCGTCGCCCAGTGGGAAACTAGCAGTCAAAGGATCTCCAACGACGCAAAGTGTTGTAATGGTTCAAAATCGAGATAACACGAATGTAGTGAGAAAACAAGTAATCTCGACGTCGCAATCTAATTCGATGACTCCTATGAAAGTCGTTTCGAAGATAGACGGAAGCCAAGTGGTAACACAGATGAAGGTGGTCTCCAAGACCGTTACACCGAAAATGGGCAGCGTGCAAAAGAACGAGCCTATAAAGATACAGCCGAAACCGGATCCATCACAATTGCAGCAGATACATGTTGTGGCTGCGGTGCAGACGCCGATAACCTTGCAACCAAGAATAACTACAGGTATAAGACCTGCCTCTGTCACGCCTCAGCGAACGGTAGACTGTCGTCCCTTGCTACCTAGACCGGCATTACGCCCGACGGCAGCAACAAGCGTTCTCGGTACAATTCGTACGCCCGTCAGAGCACCAGCACCGAGACAGATTCAGACGCAAGTGACGCGACCAGTGTTGCAAAAGCGTACGACGACGGTCGTAAGTACGCAACAGGCCGTTTCGCCGACTGCAGTGACCGGCGGCACGGTTACGCAAATCAAGCCAAAGTTTACAGTACTTGCAGCATCTTCGCAATCCAAACAGGTGATCAAAACTGGCACTAGTCCAGTACAACAACAACAACAACAGCAGCAACAACCATCGCCCCCACCACTACAATTACAACAACAACAACAGACAAAACAGGTGTCTCCGAAGACACCAGTGAGTAAGGCACAGTCATTGTTATCTCCACAGCAAAAGTTATCAATGGCAAAGAGAAAGGCCCAGGAAGCAGCAGGTATAATTAAACCGGGTGGTCGTGGACTTTTAGCGGGTGCTCGTGCCGTTGCAGGACGAGGCAGAGCAAAAGTAGGTACTGAGACATCTTCGGCGATAGCTCAGGCAGGAACTAAAGCTCCGAAGGAAAGCAAATTAGCGGAAGGTGATGGACTTCACATGGAATTCCACGAAGTTGGCTCGGAAGAGAGCAGTAGCGAGGGCGAGTCGGATCTTCCTCCTCCTCCCGAGCCGGACGTTGTTACGGCTCCGCAACCCGACAGTCCACCGCGTCCATTCACGTTGTGTCCTCTCACGGGACGCATAATTGGTCCAGATGGTGAACCGATCGAACAACCAGGCGAATCCGAATCTGGTGAAGCAACAACAAATTCGGCCATAGCAAAAACAGTTACTAACACATCTGAAACTGTGACAGCAGACCTAGCCACCACGGCTACGACTGTCGTCGCCAACGCTAATACCAGTACTATCACCACCAGCACCACCACAACCGTTGCCAATACGGCTGCCACTACCACCATCACCAGTACCACTAGCGCCGCCACCGCCACCGCCGCCGCCGCCGCCGCCGCCGAATTGGTCTTACCTTCTCTTGACTCGCTCACCGAAAGCGGTGGTATTATGAGAGTTGAGATGAGTCCCGGTGGAACGACCGGCACCATTGTTCAAGCTAGTGAAACAACACAGATTAATCTGTCGAATGTAACAATACCTGCACCAGATTTACCTTGCTTGGACGATACTGCTTCTACAGTAGCGACAACCGTAGCTGCTCCACAGGCCGTATCCATGGCAGCACCTTTGACAGAAATTGTCGCTTCTAGTTCTGCTGAAACATCCATTACCACAGCATTGTCGACAGTTCCGGCAACATCTACCGTTACTATGTCAGTGGCAACAGCGGCAGACGTCAAGACTGGGGAAAAGATGTCAGAGGAGAGAAAAGTAACAACGGACGATGCAGCCAATCTTGTTACTATAGCCGAGCACGGCGTTGTCTATCAAGTCGCGGGCCAAGCAGAGGATGGACAGACTCTCCTTGTGACGCATGGCGCCGATGGTGAGCAGCAATGTGTATATGTCACCACCGAGCAACAAGGAGATGACGGCTCAGTCTTAACATTGGATCACGCCGTTGCTGAGGCTGTAGCGCAGCTGATTCCTGATCAAGGTCTCGCGTCCCAATTTTACGTGAAGGAAGGTGGAGCGGAACCGACTGAAAATTCAATGGTCATGTCTATAATGGATAATGTGAATGCGACCGATGTAACTGGGACCCAAGAGGATAATGATGGACAAGCACAGGTTATAGCTCAAGTAGTGCAAGCTGAAGAACCTACTCCAGGTAATATTTTTCTTGATTGCATCTGCCTTTACTTTCAAGTAAAGGTTCTAAAATTTTTGCTCAGTTTGCTCCCAATGTGTAATGTAAATAATGTGCAAAAAAGTGAAGAATCTAAACGTCGAATTTTCTTCTGTGCAATGTTCAAATAGTGTGCGACTGAATTGCACAAGACAACTGACACATACGTGACACGACAGTGGCACAGTTTAGGTACCAGTTTAATAAGTGAACAGAAATTTTGACGTTTAGATTCTTAACTTTATTGCTAATTAGTTAGAACAGCTCTCGCTCTCGGACACCAACTGTCGAAATTCGCAATCTTCTAATGTAATGTTGCTGTTGAGCACATGTATGTGTCTCATACATACATTTGTTATTACAAAACCTATCACACCGATCTTCCTTCTTAGAATTTACCATATTTGGTAATGTTACCGACATACGCGAGTATTTACATACGTCTCCGAGAGCGGTTATAGTAATAAACACAATATCTTGCCTTCCGTTTAAAAGGTACATAACAATAAATCGCGAAAAGATACATAACAATAAATTGAATAGATGGTTGAAATTATGAGTTAATATATTATTTATCTACTTATTAGAATTATTCTTTTAATACGAATTAAGTAAATGTAGTGTTTAGAATTCATTTTATACGATGCTACATTTTGATTTGATATTGGCAGACTTATCTGATTCTTAATGTAAACGATAATAACTTGCAACAAAATTATCAAAATCTCTTGTATGTAGATAGAATGAAATATATAATACATCCATCCAATCTCTATCTGATTTCTTTTTCAGGAGGAACCAGAAGGGTAGTGCTCTTATTGCCGGATGGAAATTTAATGATGACCGAAGTGGATGAGGAACAATACGCCGCTCTGGAACTTGATAAGTGAAAACAGATATCATTTTGCGCATATGCTAATAAAATACCACGGCAATGCATCGAATTGCATGTTACGCGCATATTGTACGTTTAAAACGTGATCGTCAATTGTATATATGTAAAAACGTTCACTTCGTACAATTGCACGTTGATGACGTCTTAATATTCAGTGACTAGACTAGATAATAATGTAAGGCAGAGAGAAAGAGAGAGAGAGAGAGAGAGAGAGAGAGAGAGAGATAGCTGGTATACTGTAAAAAATCAGCACACACCAAGAAAAAAAATTTAAATTTTAGATTAAACAAAAAATGAATGTGTTTATACGTACATACGTTTATGCGCGCGCGCGCGCGCACACACA